GAGACAGCATTTGCTGGGAGAAACGCTGCCTGAGACGACCAAACCACTGCTGTATACAGGTAACACTGAACAGCAGCAAAAGTGTGTTGGGGTTCATTTTACTGGTGGTGATCTACCATGTTAAAAGGTCAGTGTGTCATGCTATTGAGTGTGGCAACTTGCACAGACAATCTTCACACAAAGTGTTGAATACTTATTTTCCAATGACTGATAAACATACAAATTGTCTACCACATGTCTTTATACAATAAACAATCAAAAAATAAATGATGTCACATTTCTCTAGCTTCATAGCAAAGATGTACCTCAGATAATGAGACCAGCAGAGAACAACACACTTCCGCTAATGCACTGATGATGGAGCTAATTTTTCCTTTGGCATTTCTGCTAATGTTGAAAACATGTAGCTCCCTTAGCTTCCTCTGTACTTGGGTGTTTTGTAAACTATCGTGAATAAAATTTGACATTGGTGAATTTTTTTTAATCGCCTTTTAAGAATTCTTTGAGTAGCTTGACATTTATATTCATGCTCTTATTTCAAAGTGGGTGAAGACTGTTTGTTTGTGTAGTAGTTTTTTTTCTTCTTTTTCTCGTGTTTATAGAGCTTTTTTCAAAGCCATGTGTTTTTTAGCTGTTTTGAATGTACAAAAAAAATAAAACAGCAATGCAGAGACCAGTGGTGGGCACACTTCTGCCAATCCCCACATGTGCTAATAGCCAAGCTAATTTTTCATTTAGCATTTTCGCTAAGTTTGAAAAGGTTTAGCACAGTAAGCTGGCCTCAAAATAATCTTTTTCAAGATAAAACTTAAAGCCCTAATTTCTGCCAGTTTTTTTTTTTTACTTCTGAATGAACACACTGAAGTTTTGGTTATTGACTGTTTAAGAATACTTCAAATAGTTTGACTTTTATATTCATGCTGTTATTTTGAAGTGGGTGAAGACTGTTTACACAGCTTTTCCATTTCTTCTCTCCATGTTCTCTACCCGTAATGTGGCACACCAAATGACATTTATTATATACCCAGAATCCATTGCTGCACTGTAAATGATTTAAACTCCACTGATGTCTTGCCTGCTTTCTGGCCAAATCACTTCTAAGGTCAATTAGGCAAAATCAGCAACAGTTATCAATACTCAACTATAAATCTGAACCTTTATGTGAAAGGTCTGTTCCAAAGAATCACGTCCTGAAGCACAACCTAACAGGTAGGTGTGCAATAACAAATAAGCTCCTGTTGAGGGCAATAGACTGTAACACATGTGTCATTGACAGATGGTTAAATTTAGCTCTTTAGCTTCCGTTAAATATCATGTTGGTATAGCACTTTATCATTTTTGGAACTAATGTCTATGATAAGAGCTTTAGGGTTAGTGCAACTAACTTTTTACATGGTAATGCCCAATACCAGATTGACTTCCATGGCAAAGACAAGGTTTTATTGTAAACTTAATTTCCTTCCAAATTCCAATGTTTCAGCAATGAAAAGACCAACCTCACCCTATGTAGAGTAATTTGCCCTAAAACCTTGTTGCCAACAACTAGCGTCAAGCATTTAAATTCACTGGGAACTTAATACTTTGTACTTTTTTTCTTCCTCAGGGGAACTCATCGGGATAAACTATCTGCATGCTCAGACAGGTCGCAAGCTGCGAGTGTTTGCTGATGATCCAGAGGAGCCAGACGGTTCAGAGATTAAGTTGGTGGATGAAGTCATGTCTGAGGAAGACAGGCTTCAGGATGTTTTACTTGAGGATGTGGACGAGGGCTTCAATGAGGTGACAGAGGCCTTCTTGGACACTTCATTTCAGAAGACCAGTGCACCTCAGAAGCCACCTCTGTCTGATTCGTACTTCAAGGATTCCTACTTCGAGGTTGTCTGGGATACTGCTAGTGACGAGGGGGTATGCGTTTTCTTTTCAACTCTTACTGCAGATGCTTTTTCTTTTGTATTTAGATTGCATATAATGCCAATACTTTCTTCAAGATTTTCTTCACAACTCCGCCCAACTGGAGTTCATGAATGAAGCCTCATACCTGCTTTTCAGGAGACTGTGGGTCCAGACGGAGCCCCTGGGTACCAACATGTGGTCCGACTGGCTCGCAGGCTAGTGGACCTCGAAATGAAGGGCAAACTCTGTGATGAAGAAGTGGAACATATCCTACAACTCTGGCAAAACCTCTCGGAAAAAGATAAGCAGCCCTCCTGCAATAAAGCTGCCCCGTCTACAGGCTCCACTTCGAGCCGCGCCACAAGTACAGAAAACATTTCCTCCTTGTCACCTGACTCCAGCCGCCTGGTAGAAACCATCTTCAGGGAGCTGTCCACCCTGTACGGAAGCGACAAGAGGATCATGGGTGTGGTGATAAACCGGTGGTCCCTGGTTTTGCGTCACTATAATGCCATCAGAAACATGGTAGTTAACCATCCAATTCTCAAAACCAAGACCACCCTCAATCTGTTTGCAATCAACCAAGTGGCCATTTCTCAATGGTACAATTAGCATTCTTTTCTACCACTTTGGCATTTATCTCATAAAATGAGTGTTTGTGATTAGCAATGTGGGTCAACACTAACTGTTCTCCTTTTACCCTGCAGGCACAAGAGGTTGATGGCTAGAGAGGATATATCTACCCCTCTGTTAACATCAGGGGAGTCCTTCACAGTCGCCCAGGAGCCCCAGCTTGACCCCGGCTCTTCCTCTGTTGTTTGGAACTTACTGGTGACTACAGGAGAGCCTAAAGAGGCACTGTCACAAACCTCTCCTGCCCCTGCTCCTTCCACCAGCACCTCCATGGTTGGGACTGCTGTTCTTCCTGCATTAATCAACATCTCCACACGTACCCCGACGCCCATAGCCCCAAAACGGAAAATGGATCAGCAGCAGGTGGAAGTTCCACCGACAACTACCTGTATTCCAGAACAGAGAGCTGTCTCCTTCAGATCTTGCACGAGCTGTGGGAAGCGGAGAATTTGGGATACAGGTCACAGAGTTCTGAGAGCTGCCAATGGGAAGAGGCTGAGCTATTGTCCTGTGGCAGCCAACGGAAAGGGCCCAGAGGAGTGGCTGGCCTCTCTGTAAAGAGCTTTGCTTGTGTTGAGCATTACAATGAGGATCAGCATTATTGTGTGTTGTAGCTTTCAATAAGCATTTAAAAAGAAAATGAAGTGTGGGGGGAAAAAAATCAAGCGTGCCTTTCTCCTCTTTGGTATCCTAATTTTATACAATTTTTTTTAATGACTACTCTGAGCAAAAATGGACTGTAGTAATGTAATTTTTTGCTGAGTAAAATCCTTGATTACCTATTAAGAACTTGTCCTAGTCTGATGTTCTAGATGTGATTTGCTGGTGTTTTATTTTAAACCCGTCAGTGTGATGGTTTAAAACAGAAAGTCATTGGTTTTTTGGATATCCCAGTCAAAAATGGTGTGAAAATGTTCTTTTTCTTTGAAATTTTCTATGGCAAATAAAATGCCATTTGAGTGTCGAGCTGAAATTATGCTATTGTGACAACACTTTTTAGTGTGGTGTATTATATAACTGTGCATTTATTGCTTTCACTTGCCTGAACCAATCTTTTGAACCACTCCATTAAAGTACAAAATATATAGTAGACTACTGGTGTCCCAAGTCTGTCCTTGAAGGCCGGTGTTCTGACTGGCATATAACACCTGCATTCTGCATGTTTTAGTTCTCTCCTGCTGGTAGTAACAACCTTATGTCAGTGTTCTTCTTAGGCCTTCTAATGAGCCATAATTTGATCTGGATGTATTAAAACATGCAGGATGTTGGCCCTTGAGGACAGACTTTAGACACCACTGAGGAATAAAACATAATATAAACGCTTTTTTATACCTTGGGTACCAGGAACATTTTATGACTGTTGGAAATTACGCTATTTGATCAAAACGAAGTAAAGTATAACTACACAGGTATATGTTCTGTTTTCTTACTATTATCAATCTTTTAAAACACTTCAGGGGAACAAAAGTGACGCGCAAAAATTGTAAAAAAAAATATCAACAGAAGCAAAACATATGAAGTCATTTGTTTCTGATTATTGTTACAAAGTTTTAAAAAGTTAAAACAACGACCCACACAAAAAGCTTCTGAATTTTTTTTTTTTCTGGAAATAAAATTGTAAAAACGAATCAACTGATTGTTGCTTAGATTTCCGAGGGACCCTGAATGCGTCCTTTTCCCCGCATCACCCTGCTCTCTGCTCTGCTTTAGTTTCAGTTCGATGTCCGTCCGTTTGTCTGAGTGCAGGTGTGCGCGTGGACTCGTCGTTTCCCGTTAAATACCGAAAACTCCAGATGGGAAAGCCGACCATCCAGTGACCGGAGCTTTTACTGGGATAATACCCTAGTGTTTGGGGACTTTATGTGAGACGAAAGGGGAAAGAATCGAGTTTTGGCGTTAACGTATTAGCCACAGCACGACAGGTGAACCGCGGCTTTCAGATTTCAGACGTTAGCCTCACCGAGAAAGAGACATCTATTGCTCTGGAAACCAGGAGTCCAGCTTTGCTTGGAAGCCAGGCTGCATAAACCACATACATTATAGAGGTATGAAGCCGGGATTGCTTGTTTTTGACTTGTTTTGCTTTAGCCTATCTCGGTCTCAACAGCGGCACTAATGGAGATTAGTGGAGCAGGTGCAGAGAGTTGGCTAATTATCGGTTGACTCTGAAAGCGTCGTTACGACTAAAATTTGGCACGTTTAACGGGTTGGTTTCGACTAAATAAAGCCATGGCCTGCATTATCAGGTGGCGAATCACCAACTAATGTAGAAATATGTTGGAGAACACCAATTAGTTTTCATCTAAAGTGAAAAACAACCAGCAGGTTCCAGCTTATCTCCAGGTCATAGCCTTCAGGCATAGCGGCGGCTGTTTATACTAAAGCTATCTCGGCTGACATCAAAACAAAGGTTTTAAAACGGGATTTATTTAGTCGTATGTGTTTTTATTTTTTTCTTTTTTCAAAGAAAGTGAAAATGAATTGGGTGAACAACTGAAACTTGAGGTAAAACTAATTTAAGTAAATCCGTTTATTTTAAATCAAAGGAAATCTTTTTTTTCTCACTTTGGTTGAACCACTACGTTTGTTTAATTGTGCAAACAAATTAATTTCAATTTTTAAATCCCAGTTGGTCTCTTAGTCATTTCATGGTTTATCTCCTGGTGGTTAAAATGTATTGTTACCCACAAAGTGGTAAATAAAATGCTTAAAAACAATAAATTATGTGGCTGATTTTCTGGTGCAGATGGACATTAAACACGGTTTCAGTGGCCCGAAAGTTTAAGATGAAACCAAGGCTCTGTCATCAACAGGAATAAGAAAAAAATGATAGAAGAGAAATCCTGCAATTGTTTGTAATATCAACAGGAAATCCTCAAACACTGATGCCAAATCAAGCAAAATGGCTGCTGCAGACTGTCTGACTGGAGAGTTAAATATTGTTTTATTACCATTAAACCGCCAACCCACATGACCAAAAGGTACTCACTTTATTTACGGTAGAATCAGCATGTTTTTTTTTTGGTAACTACGTGTAGTTGGATTGTTTTTCCTTGCTAAGAAAATTCTTGGAGTTTGGAAGGGATTGAGAAATCAGCAGAAACTCTGGAATATCTGGATCGACATTTTAAGTTGATGCTGAAGAATTGTTGGAGTCAGAATTCATGAAATGTTTGAAAATGGTAACAAACCACACAAGTGATGAAACAGGAGGATTAATGTAATTTTTGTTGGCCGGCATTCACCTTACCAGTAATTTGGCGAGCTTCATCAATAAATCCAGTTTATCAGGTATGTAACACGTGGCTCACTAAAGCAAGATGAGGCAGGCGTTTAACAACTTTCAGTTCAAAAATGCTTTGTTTATCCCATATGGAAACTTAAAGGTAACTCGTATCATCCAAGTACCCTCAAAGAGTCATTTGCTTTTGCCACTCATTTTTTAAAGGAGCAGAGCAGAGAGACAGTGGAGTTGGCGATATCTTCAGGGAAATCTGAAAAAAACAAAAAAAAAAAACAGTAAAAGGTTCAAAAATCTCGATGCCTTTTGAAGAATAGAATAGATCATTGCAATCCATGGTCTCCATGATCTGAATTCCTCTTTCCCCGTCTTCTTCTGAGTCTTTCTTTGACCTCTTCCCTCATCCAACTCCTTCCTCTGCCTGCAGGTTTCTCCTCGAGGTCCGCTGCCTGAAAAGCGCCATGGCCTCCGCCCACTCGGAACAGTGCAGCGTCCTGCAGGACGAGCTCACCTGCCCGGTGTGCCTCGACGTGTACCGGGATCCCCGCCTGCTCCCCTGTGGACACAACTTCTGCAAGATCTGCCTCGACCGGCTGAGGCGGCAGGCGGAGCGAGGCCACGTCCGCTGTCCGGAGTGCCGGGAAAACCACCAGAGCGGCACCAACTTCCAGAAAAACTTCAAGCTAGCCAACATCGCCGACGACTACCTCCGCAGGCGGAGGGCCATGACGGCGGCCGCCTCCACTTTAAAGTCCCAGGAACCGCTTTCGTTCTCTGCAGCACAGCTAGCCAAGACCATCTTCGCCGTTCAGTGCGACTACTGCCCCGCAGCTGCCGCCGGCGCCTCAGGATTCAGCTCCTTTGGGGACAAGTCCTCTACTAGTGCTTGTCTTTCTCAGGAAGGCAAAGACAAGCAGGACGCCGCTTCGTCAACGCTGGCGGTCAAGACGTGCCTGAAGTGCGAGGTGTCCATGTGCCAGGAGCACCTGAAGCCGCACCTGGAGCTGCCGGCGTTCCGGGAGCATGTTCTCGCAGACCCAATGCTGGACTTCTGGAAGAGGAAGTGCCTGGATCATGACGAAGTCTACAGGTAGGAGGCAGATGTTACAGCCTATGCGCTCTTCTTCTTCTAAGCTCTTAATTTTATAATGAAACTGCAAAAAAACTGTAGACAATTCGCTTCTAATCATAAAACAAAAAGAGCAATAAATTGATTTCAGAATTTCCCCAGAAAACCTGCAAAGCCCGGTGCTAGGAGCGCAAAGGCAGTCTACCAGCATGTTTGTGCTAAAAATTGTTAGAAATTTGGAGGAGCACGAACAGGTGTCATAATTAAAAATGACAGCTTGTGAGGTCAATTTGCAGGCGCAGCGACGTGCAATTGGTGTGGACCCCTCCAATGTGTCAACCATAAACCTAGCTTAATCCATCTTTATTTAAAATAGGGTTTTTTTATGTGACAGTGACATTAAACAAACAACGCTTAGTCCTGTGGCGGTGCAAGTAAAGCCTGGTGTCCCGCCAGTGTGTTTATAATACACTTGGGGAAAACACTGGATTTTATCCGTGAATTGAATTTTGGGTATTTTGAATATTTTGATTTTGGGGGGGAAAAAAATATATATATATATATATATATATATACCACAAATGGTTTCCTAGTATTTTCATACTTCTGAGTGATGCCCACATCACCATCTTGTTTGACAAGTGTGTTACACATCTTCCATTTATTTGGAATATAAGGCTTACACTAACTTATTGTCAATGTTACAATAAAATACAGTTGAAATAATACAAGATTGAAGTCTTAACATTACGAGAATGAAGAAGTAATTGTATGAGAACTCAACACAAAAAATAATTATCCAAGCTTTTTTCTAATTTTCAGACGGTCTTCCAGTCATTATTCTGTTAATGTTATTATGACTACAAGAATTTATGTTTAAGAAAATATAGTCAAGCCCTAATAGTTTATTGTACATCTCACAGAAGGGGTGATTGAAATAATCAACATTTTTTAAAAATAATTTCAGCTTTTTGTTTTCTTCTTAAGAGAAGAAAGTGAATCAGTATGGAGGAAAAAAATGTAGATTTTATTTTATTTTTGAGCCTTATCACCCAGCTCCAACATATGTTCTCCAACAGTTTCCCATGGTTATGTGTTATGTAACCATGAGAAACTACTTATATGTTTCGGCTTTTCAATATTTATTTTGGCAGCAGCAGATAAATGATGACATTGGACTTGATCTTCAGTTCAATGAATAATTCAAAATGAAATGGGTTGAACCAGACGAAGATCAAGTCCAGCCTGTTTGTGAAGCAGATGCTTATATTCTCATTTTTACAGTTGAGTTTTCTGTTAAGAAATGGATCATCTGTAATGTTATAGTTGGTGCCATGTTGTTGTTTGAGAAAGCGATTTCTCAGGGAGCCAGGCGGCGTCCAGAATGAAGTTGTTTTGTGTTACTGTCTCACCTAAACCTACAGACCTTCTGACAAATAAACAGAAAACCTGCTGCAAATTCTCACTTTTATAATAACAGCAAACATATCTGCTGCAGTGGTTGGAGTTTATTTTCTAAGACTCTACTGATTCAGGTTCCTCCATTCTTTTTTAATGAGATGACAAGAAACAAGTTCAGTTTTTACAAGTTGTTTATTTTTATGACAATAAAGGAAACGGAATCAGAAGGATTTGATGTTTCCCAGTCTGAACAAAGTTACTAATGGTTCAATAATGGCAGATTTTCACGTAAGGATCAGAATAATGATGCCATATGTTAAGATTCTTAATGTTTTATCTATGATTGCAACTTTTCTATAGAAATGTTTCTTCTCCCGCA